GGGCAGCCAGAGAGGGAGACACAGAATCCAAAGCAGGCTCCAGGCTCTGTGTTGTCAGCACAGAGCCCCACGAGGGGCTCAAACTCACAAGCCGTGAGATCATGACCTAAACTGAAGTCGGACGCCTAACCTCCTGAGCCACCCAGGCGGATTAAGTCCACTTTCTATTGCACTTCACAACTATTTCATCTTCCTTTACATCAACCCTAGGCAATATCATTCTCTCCACTTTGTGGAAAAGAAGACACCGTCTCTGAATTAAAGTACTTTGCCCGAGTTTCTTGGTATAGCTCCACACTGGTCAGCTCCAACGTCTTTGAAAATCTTGCCCAAAACCCAGCGCGACCAAAACAGGTGCCTGAACTGACAGCATTAGGCAAAAAGGCTGCCAGCTCTACTCCCAGGTTAGCCCAGCCCTCTCGGGAGGGGGCGGGGCAGTGAGACACTACCTGCTCCGGGTAGCTCCAGCTGACGTCATTGCAACAGCGACGCAGAAGATTTACGCGACAGCCTGCGCCTCTTAGATCCCAGCGGTCATTGCGGCCAGCAGGCTTTACGGCTTGGGTGTGGCTGCTCTTTCACATGTGTGTGGTGAGGTCTCCGATTCGGCTTGTTGGAGGGTCAGGTTGCGCTCAGACCTCTGCCCCAACCCTCAGGCCAGGCCTTCTAAGTGAGTCTCACAGGAGGTGGTGTCCAGCGGGGACTTGTGTGGGAGAAGTGAAGTAAGGTGAGGCCTGGCGCTGCCTGTGCACAGATTGTTGAACTTCAGGGCCACTGCTTTGCTTCGGATGTGAGTCAGTGGCATTTGGCAGGTTGATGTGCAGACTAAAGTGACCTGTGTGATCTCTTCCTGAGTTGCCCAGCCTCGGACCCTCTGCCCCTTCTTTAGAAGAAAATAAGTGTGCCCCACCTCCTTACTAGGTTTGGAAGCTATAAAGTACATTGTTATTCAATGTAGTTGTGTAATGGAAATTAAGAAGCCCATGGATGGGGAGGGAGGAAGTTTCTAGATTATTTACTGTCTTTAAGATAACTAATAACCTAGAGAGAGACCTCTGGAGCACGACAGTTTGTTGACAGTCTTCAGATCTTTGAAGACTAAATAGCAGCATCTACTGCTGTAAATGAAGTAGGGAATATCTTTAACTTCATGGTTCCATTACATGTGAATCTGCTAAACTTACTTGCTTCTCCCCCTCCGCCCCACTCTTATAAGGGCTCAGAAATGTTTGGGTGTATAAAAGTATATAGTGTTCTTATATTTATTTGT